CGCCCTTGCAAAACAAGAGGCGAATGCGCGCATGCGCACTTAGGAGCGTCCAGTTTCGGGCGAGCGTCCAAATACTACGGTACCGGCCCACCAGGCCTACGGCAGCTGTACGCGGGCTATAGTACTAGAGCTACTACTAGTACTACTGGCACTGACTAAACAGGACGTAGTGACAACAGACCCTCACGCTCTTACCATACCAGTTAGTTAGATAGCAAACACTCACCTCTTTTGACAGTTTTGTTTCCATTGCAAATGTTGGATGCCAATGCCAATGGCATGTAATTTTGATTAGTGACAATGACGGAGCTAAAGCGCATAGGGTCTATGTCCCCCAGGGTACTATTGGAGGGTACCCTGGGTACGGTTCGATATATCGGAACGTACCCTGGTAACTATCTGATATGCTTATGGTTAGGGTTAGGGTTAGGGTTATGGTTAGGGTTAGGGAGTAGGCATAGGCGACTCCCTAGACTCGATCGTTAGTGGAGTAGGCGAGGTACGGTCCGCCATATTAGATAGTACCAGGGTACGTTCCGATTAGCTCTAGTAACTATAGCCCGCGTACGGTTGCCGCTGGCAGCGTGCTGAAGGTGTTTAAGTAAACAGTAAAACCAATTGAGTACGCTGCATTCGTGCGCACGCGCAAACAACCGTAAACAATTTCCGAATTCGCAGATATGCCTACAGAGAAAGTAAAGCTGGGTTTACACTATCGACTTTGTGTTGGCAAATTGGCGAATTGGCGAATTGGACCAACTTCCCAACTATACAACCGACAATCGGCAGTGTAAACGCAAAAGTTGTGCGACCAACCGATCGATAGCAACTAGTTGGGAGATTAGAACACGTTCTATTTTCGCCAACTCGGAGTTGCCGAATTGGGAAGTTGGTCCAAGGTGAGAGAGATAAAGACTGTCGAATGAGTCACAAAAATTACTTTTTTCTCAATAATGGTGCTGCAGTAAGTAGACCACATTGTCTTTAGCTCGGCTAGTTTTTTCTGGATGATCTCCTGGCCATCATGAGTTGTATTCGTGATGACCTTGTCACCCTGACGGACGGTGTCGTTAACCGCATCCTGAAGGGAAGGCTTATCCTGCTTCAAAGCCTGAAGGAAAAAATATCCGTAAAGTATGAGACTGAGAATACATAGGTATCACCGTAGCAGAACTCCAAACAACTAACCTTCTTTATAACTGCAGCCGTGATTTACCTCAAGGTAAGTCACGAATAGATATAATTGAGTGACACTTCACAACAGACCGACAGTCTTAACAACAGACAAAGTAAATCAACTGCAAACTACCCTGTAAGAAAATCCTGTTAAATCCTGTAATCTGTAAAGTATCCTGTATCTTCATAAAAAGTTTATCTTAGTTAGATTCATAATAAGTTATAATTACTTACAACGACGAACTTTTCGTCCATCGCTCCGATAAGACTTCCTCAGGTCTGATGTTTCGTCGTTGTAAGTAATTATAACTTATTATGGATCTAACTGAAACTTAATTTTTATGTGAACTACAGAGATCCGATGAAACTATTCAATTATCCTGTATCTTGTACGTGAAAGCACGCAACGATGAGTCCAAACCTACCTCAACTACTGACAACTTCTCCTGTAGCGTGTCCTTGCCTTCCGTGACATCCTTGCTTTTAGCGAGCTGATCTACTGCCGACTGCAGTGCTTGCCGGCACGCACCGAACGTCACGTGGTAGGCATCGTGTTCGTCTGCTCGTGTCTCACTCGTCTGCAGCAGCTGCTGGGCTGTGTCCGTCAGCTTCTCATAATGAGTGCTGGCGCGAGTCATCTACCAAACACGAGTCGCTTTTATATTTAATTGTTTGCAGGTCATCCCCATTCTCGACGAAAACAATACAGCATTGAAACAGTCCTATTTAGCATTCTTAGTCTTGGATTATTACATCCTATTTAGTTCTATTTTATTTCCTATTTAGTAGAGAATCAACATCTAGTGAGTATCATGGATCAAGGGAGATTTTGAAATTGTTAACAAGACAATGATGTATTGCTTTGGATTTAGTTAATATGACAGGACTGAGCGGGATTGAACAGAAATGAATCGTTCTCCAAAATATTACCAGTTTGCAAGATTTACATAATTGTTACACTGCATCAGATTCACAGCAGAAACAGAAGTCAGTGAGGAGGGAACATAAATGAGAGAAGTGAAAAGTGATAAACGTCTGAGACATATGGGCAATTTACGAGAGCCTGCACCAGAGACGTCGTTTGGCTACCAGCAGATGGTAGACTCCCTGCAAGCCCCAGGACGCCTGAGTTGCTCTCAGAGCAGACAGCTGACTTCACTGCCGTGTCGCGCGGTACAGCACAGTTGTGCGCAGCCGCAGAGGGAGCTGGTTCATGCAGCGCAGCAACGGCACTACTTGAGCACCATCAGTACCAGCAGGGTTGCAAGCAGCTGACACCTGCGGATGAGGGCAAGGCCGCACTGACTGCAGCTGTTGACATCTGCGACATGCACAGTCAGGCTGCAGACGAAATTCGACACGGTTCAGGTTTGTACGAGTTTCTGGAACTGCACTGAATTCCTCACGTTTACGCTGAAACCACGCACAGAGTTAGCGTATTTGATGTTATGTTCGTAGGACCCATTATGAATGTGAGTTAGTCAGTTTTCATAATGTTCTATAGTACACATCTCAGTGTGTTGGATTATTATGACTTTACAGGAACTCACAGAGAAGATCGTAGATGGCAATGCCAAGGCTAGATGTTGTCAAGTCTGAGAGTGAGACGCTGGCACCAGGAGACGGAGAAGGGACGTGACAGTCTCGCTGCTGAAATCAACCGTTTTCGGAGCAGGGCCTGAGCGATTATCGCTTCCAGCTGGCTATCTTT